TGACTAATTAAATTTATAACTTGAAGTTTGTACCTCCTGATCCCCTTCACCTATTTCACCTGCACCCCCCACGCCCTCCCCTATGGTAACCAACAGTCTATTGTCAGTATTTATGGGTCTGTTTCCTTCTTGTTTGTTCTGTTTTTTAGATTCCCCATATAAGTGAAATCATATGGTATTTGTCTTTCTCTATATGACTTATTTCACTTAGCATGATACCAGCGTTGTCACCAATGGCAAGATTTCCTTTTTCATGGCTGAGTAATATTCTATTGTGTATCTGTACCACATCTTCTTTATCCATTCATCTATTGATTAAACACCACAAAGCAACTATTGATTCAATTAAAAATGGGCAGAGGAACTGGGAGTGCCTTCTTAATAAGCCACTTGTGTATTAATCCTCATCTCAGAATTTACTCTAAGGACCTGACCTAAGATACTCTACTGCCATGGGCCAAATTTAGATTTGAAAGAGTGTTTGTCATATTTAATTTTCAAACTGAATATTTTAACACTGCATTAAGTAGCCGGATTTGGTTCTTCCCATTTCCTTCTGTTTTATCTGAGTCCTGTTGTTTACTGACCTTCTTTGCCCTGTCCCTGAAGGCATTTGAGATTTTAACCCCTGACCTATGGACTTTTGACCAAGCAAAGGTGATTTAAGGCCCTTGACTATCTCACCAGACTATACATGTCTGGATTGTCTCCTAGCTCTTGGCCAGATGCCCTCATTTCCTGCCACTATCCAATGTCTGAATTCCCCATCCATGCAGGCACTTGGCCAGCTTTATTCCTTTACACATGATTCTTAGTCTGAATGAAAGATTCTCCCCCACTTTAGTTCCACCTGACAAAGTCCTATTCATCAAGGACCTCATCTACTGCCCCTTCCTCTGAGAAAGCCATTTATCCAGCTCTCCCTGAGCTCCAACAACTCATACAATGTCTGTGACTTGACATGCCATGCCAGAGTGAAATCTGAGGAACTCTGGGATTAACTTATTAGCAGACAGTGTGTTTCAGGCAGAGGGACAGCATAAGAAAAGACCTAGTGGTCAGTAGGGCAGAACATAGCATGTTGCAAGAACTGAATAAAGATCAGAGGCTAGAGGCTAGAAAGGAAGAGGAAAGGGTGGAAGGCAAGAAGGACAGACAACTGGGAGATGCAGTAGTTTCCAGGGTGGAGTTCATGACCGAATGCCAGGGGATAGGAAAGTACCCTCAATTCCCTATGGTATCGGTATATTTCCATTTGTTTCTGGGGACAGAATTCATAGTTTTCATCTCAGAGGTCTCTTTACTAAGAGTAAGAGACAGAAAGAAAGGGAGGGAGAGAAGAGAAAGAGAGAAAGGAATAAGAAGTTTTGGACATCTTCTCCAGGTCCGAACCACACTGGCTCCTGTTCCTCACAGTAACGTCCTGAGCTCTGCAGCTCCCCTCTTCCCGTGTTACAGGTGACAACATTGAGCTTCACAAGAGGGGAAGCTCTCCGAGGACACACAGTCTGTCCATGTTGGAGCCAAGGTGTCAATCTAGTTACAGAACATGCATGATTACGTTCTTGATTCTAATGGTTCCTGGATAGAGAAATCAAGTAAAAATATCTCCAAAATGTCTGTGTGACTCTGAGGCCAGGACAACGTAACAAGCAGGCAGAGGGTGGACAGCGGTGTTCCATTACACATGCCTCCGCTCTGGAAGTTCATAAAACTAAGGTTGTTTGGATACCATGGTCACTGGGGCCAGAGCTTGCCTTGACAACTTCATCTGAAAAATAGTCCATAATAATCAAAAGCATGAGAAGAGGGGGTGGGGCCGGGGGTGTAATTATAAAGCCCTCCACTCTCTCATGACCCTGTGGCTTCCTTTGATTTAACAGGTGTTCTTTATATAATTATCTGCATTTTAAAGATGTGGTTCTCAAAGTGTGATCTCAGGACTGGCTGCATCAGCACCACCTGAGAACTTCTTAAAAATACAAATTCTCAGGCTCCCTTCCAGCCTACCTAATGAGAAACACTGGAGGGGGGTGGGCAGCAATCTGTTTAGCATGGCCTCCAGGCAACTAAAATGCCCATCTAAGTCTGAGAACCACTGATTTAAAGTGTGCCAAAACCCCGTCAAATTCATTACGTCAGTGGTTCTTCCTGGAAACCTCTAGCACATCTTGTTCCCACTGTACCTTTGAGGGCACTGAGGATAAAAAGGGATACATTTCCTGAAGGTAAATCCAGATTAGCTGGCTTGGTAGGGCAGCCCACCTGCTTTGAGTATGGTCTCCCTCCATGTTCTCAGGGTGTCCCTGTGAGACCCCCAGCCCACCAGGAGATTAAAAAGATAGCATTGCCACCTTCACTCTGAGCATTCACATGCTTCATGACAAGCCAATGGACAGCTATCCAATGTGAACTCTTTGTATGACTCTAACGGATATGAGAAGATATATTCAGATCAACCCACTTGGCCACAGCTAGGAAAATAATTTGGGTGTCCAAGTAGACTTTTGAGCCATTAGAGATATATATTCCCTCCATAAAAAAAATCTCCAGACAGGTGAAATACCCAAGTGTTTTTAGAGCAGTCAAGTGTATAAAAATTTTTAAGAATCACCACCCTTTTGATGAGCATCTACAATGCAGCATTACTGTCCACATGTCATTTCATTCAGTCCTCATAACAGGGGTGCTGAGTTAGTCTCCACTTCCTCATTTTATTAAAGGAGAAAAATTAAGTGTCTCATGTAATCATGATCACTCTCCTGCTTCAAACCTTACAGTTAATTTCTGTGAATCTGCCGCAGTGGTTCTCAACCAGGATCACACATTAGAATACTTGGGGAATTTTAAATCCCGATGCCCAGCCCCTACCCCCAGATCAAATAAATTAGAAACTCTAGGAGATGGACCTCGTATGTTTGCAAAGTCCTCCAGATGCTTCCAGTGCCCAGCTCAGTTTGAGAATCGTGGATCTAGAAACTTTAGTCTTAGTGCAGTCTACAAATGGCCTAGACACCCTTGCTCCTGCGTACCTGCTAAAATGCATCCTGTTTCTTCTCCCCAGAGCTCAACATCCTGGCCTCTTTCCGTTCTTCAGCTGTGTCAGTGGCTTCATCACTCCCAGGGCTTTGCATCTGCTGCTCCTCCTGCCACAGTGCTTGTTTTAGCAGCTTTTCCTGTGGCTGACTCACCAGCACCCTTCAGGTCTCAGCCCAGATGCCTCCTCTCCTAAGAGTATGACTTTGGCCACTTCATCTAAAGTCATGCTCAGTGTCGTCCTTACTTACCATCTGGTTTATCTCTTTGCCAGCATTTGTACAGCCTTGATCATGTATTTGTTGACTTGGGTGTGATTGGTCTTACCCCACTTTAATGGAGGATCCAGAGACGCTATTCTTCTTCATTACTTTATCCCCAGGATCTGGAAAATTGCTCGAAGAAATGAATGAGCTCAGAGGGTTTAGCTGATCAGTCCTCAGCCCTATAATTGTCCTCGTTGTTTGAATCCCAATGCTCTGAGTCCAGGCTCATTGATTTTTCCAATACAGTCTGACTAACCATTTCTGCTTTCATTCTGTTTGCACATGTTTAAACCAAAAAGGTTTAGAAGAGACAAACTGTTTCTAATAAGGAAGCTGGGATTGGTGACTTGGAGCTCACCCTTTGTGATGTGGCAAGGAGTAGGCGAGCGAGTGGGCATGGCAAAAAACCAGCTGTGTAAATAGCATCACCTCTAGTCCAATTGAAATGAAGTCATTAAATTATGCCTCCAGACCCTAAACCATTTATTTCACCATGCTGGAGAAAGAAAGAGAAACGTTCAGAGAAGTAATTTCTTTGCCCAGGTATTTCATTAAAAACCGAACGGAAGGGGCCCTGGTGGGAAAACATGGCACCTGATATGATTGTGGGAGACACTTTCTTAAAAAATGGAATAATCAGGTGGTGGTTCACCAACCCCAGTCAGTGCTCACCATCACCAATAACGGAGGGCCACGAGCTGGGATGAGCTACAGCCCCTTGTGTGCCCCGGAGGAGACACAGAGGGCCAGGCCAACCCTCTCCCAGCAGAAGCAATAACACCAACGTTAATAATAAGCCACCTTCATGCACTCTTTGGGGGATAGCTATTTGGGGGGGGGCGAGGGTGATGTTAGTATTTTTCTCCCTCTCCGTTATTTCTGACAATGGAAGTGCATCTATAGATAATATTTTTGTTGGCTTAACGTGCACAATAGAGTCAGCTTCTGCTCCTTTGCTACCACAATAAAAGAACCTCATCTATTATCCATATCAGAGGATGCTAAGCCTGGGTAGCCATGACTGAGAATTAGAGATCAGCATTTACCTAACTAGCATTGGGTCCTAAAGAGTAATTGAGGGGCAGGAGTGCCGAGCTTTCAATAATTTACTTTCAATAACTTATCATTTTCTTGGAGCTATGTTTTACTTCCAAGAGCAAATCAAGAATTCTTGTTTCCATTTGAGAGAAGAGGAATCTGAAAGAAAGGCCATACAGCTTGCCTAAGATCCTTTAGTTATTGAGCAGCAGAGCTGGGATTCAAACCCAGGCAGGGCACAATTTATAATACACTACAGACTTGGGGAACCTCGGTGGGTGCCTGTAGTAATAAGAATAGTAATCATTTAATATTATTAACATTAATGGTGATATTAAATAATAGATTAAATATACATAAAGTATATAAAAATAGTAATAGTAAAGAAAATAAATAGTAATGTTTATTATTAATGGTAATACTTAATAAATATTAGGTATTGGTCAACTCTGTGATGAATGTATTACACATACAATTTTATTTAAATGTCACAAGTCATTTAATTGTCACCACAACGTTATCAAGTAGAAACTATTACTTTCTCTTTACAGATAAATATAGTAAGGGTCAGAAAGCTTAATGGTTTGCCTGTACTACTTGTAAAGTAATTTGTGTGTAATTTGAACACACATCTTTCAGCCTTGTTTTTGCTCTTCTAAGATACTACATGCAAATCAGACCTGATATCACCAGGCTCCTCACAGCCACAAGAAGAATGAACCCGGAGATGTGAAGCCTGGTTCACCTGCCAAGTCACCACGTGACCTCTGGGTGAGTCCTATCTCCTTTCCCATGGCCTGTGGGGCTGGCCAGGCTCTAGAGCATCTTGGTTCCCTCTGATGTCCTTTCCCACTGCACACAAACTAGCACACAGCACACAAAGCCCCCATCCTGCAGGCATGCCAGCTGGACTCTTTCAGATGCGAATCACCTGGTTTAAACGTGAAGGACGAAGGGGAACCTTCACTGGACACAAGTCTCAGAAAGGCTGAGGAGCAGGGACTGCTATTGGAGACAAGCAGAAAATACTCCCGTGTCCTTGACCATCGCTCGGGGAAGAAGGCAAGTGGCTTGTTTCCTCACCCCGGGTGCTCTTCACAAGAGGTTTTGGGGAAAAAAAACCAAAGAACAAAAACCTGGAGCTGAGAACATAATTACATGAACTTGAACATAAGGTAAAGACCAAATTACGGCAGTAAGCCTTAGGCACAAATACAAATGGAGGATGACCAGCAAATCTCTTGCGGCAGCAAGTGAAACCAAAAATAAAAAGTGAGAGGGATCCTCTTGCTATTAAAGTAAAAGTTGAAAAAGTAAAATGAGGGAGATAGCACAGAGGCAAAATCCAGGGCCTTGGGGTTCCTCACAGGGCTCGGAATAGACACCATCATGCCGGCAGGAGAGGCCTTGGGCTGTGGGCCGTCTCGGTGACTTCCCCCACGGCCCTGTGAGCCGCTGTCATCACTATCCCCATCCAGCAGATGAGCAGATGGCCTTATACAGACCACACAGCCTGCAAGGGACACAGCCAGGGTCCAGAACCAGGGTGGCCTCAGCCTGAGCTTTTGCTCCTAACCACTGCGGTAGACTGGTTGGCGGGCCAGAGTGTAAGAGCAGCCCCTGTCCCGGCTCTGTCCCAGGGGAAACCCTCTTCATTCAAATGATGACACAGTGTATTCAACTCCAGCGGCCAAATTTGTCGTCTCGGCCCTCTCTGCTGCTTTTCTCAGCCCCGCACCAGGTCTTGCCTTTAGATGGTTTCTTAGTCACCCCTACTAAGTCATTGTTCTCTCTCCACATTGCCTCTTTGTTTCTTCCACTGACATTTGTTTCTTCCACTGCATTCAAACCTTTCTGTTACGTTATTCATCATCACCTATTCGCTGATTGGATGATTTGTTAGTCTTCAGACATCCCCATGGTGTGTACTGCAATGCCGAGTGAGCTCTGGGTGCTGAGTGTGTGGAAGGGTAGGGGGTGAGGATGTGGAATGGAGCATAGGAAGCCCCCAGGGAGCATGCAGTTCAGTGAAGGAGCTGTGCTAGGCCCACTGTGCGGGGTGGGGGGTGCAGCTGAGCTGTGTACAGGGGCTGAGAGAATGCAGAGGGTGCCCCAGGGCCCACTCAGGTGAGGGCAGCAGGTCCCCAGACAGCAGGTAGCACTGGAGATGAGAGGCTGTACCTCCTTTCTCAGGATAATGCTCACACTGCTCCAACTCGGCTGTGCATGACGATCACCGGCGGCCTGGTGGAGGTGTTCTGTGGTGTTCTGGCCAGTGTCAGGAACCTAAATTTTTAAATAAGTTCTCAAGGTGATTTCCTTTCAGGTGGTCAGAGCTGCAGCAGGCAGTCATTTAGCACTTGCTAATGAATACATATAAACATGTGTACATGTACATTGCAGAAATAGATGAACACATGTTCAGCAGGGACTGCTCATGGACAATATTTCATATTGCTCTCCCTGCCCCACAATGTAGTTACTACACACAGTGTTGCCGGGCAAGAGTCTACTTTCCTAGAACCTTGAACTTGCTGACATGGAGGATAAACACATGAGCTCAAAATCATAATAAGAGGTTTAATGAAACAACAATACAACATACCTAGGAGTGGAATTGCTGAGTTCTGTGTTCATTAAATATTTAGCTGCCACATTTTTCCACAGTGGTTATAGCAGTTTACATTCCCACATCTACGTTTTAGGGTTCTCATTTCTCCACATCTTCTACATACCCAAAATGTATGAACTAGAACATATTATGCTAAGTGAAACAAATCAGACACAAAAGGCCATGTATTGTTGGTTTGATTTACACGAAAGGTCCAGAATAGGCAAATCCATAGAATCAGAAGGCAAGGTAGTAGTGGCCAGGGGCTGGAGGAGAAGGGGAAGTGGGCAGAGTCTGCGAATGGATGCAAGGTTTCCTTTCGGAGCGATGAATTGAGTTCTGAGATAGTAGTGAAAGTTGCACAGATTGCAAATGTATTTAATGCCACTGATTATACACTTCAAAATGGTTAATACGGTAATATTATATTATATGCACTTTACTGCATTTTTTTAAAGGATACCCAACAATTGCATGGGGAATTAATTAGGAGGAGGACATGAGGAGGGATGCATGGATATGACTTCAGTTGTCTAAGGAAAGGACAGTGGAGGCTCAGACTAGGAGGGAGGCAGTGATGGAATTCCATTCTCTTGGCCCTTTGTTGTTCTTTCTTAATGTAACCTCTTCTCCTGTTTCACATCAATTTATTCCCTGTACCCACTGATTCATCCCTAGGTCTCTCCTCCCACAGAGTCACTTATACAGGAGGCATCCATGTCTTACTACATTTGCTAAATAAACAAAATAGATCAGTAGCATTGGATAGCTTAAGGCTGCATGCACAAACCTGCTGAGTCGTTTTCCTCGTTGCACTTTCCTCCCCATTTCCCTACCCCAGCCAAACTAGGGTCCTAGGCATTGTGGAAGGTAAAAGGCCCTGAAATCAATACAGTATTTAACAGGAAGGCGCCAAAGCGTGGCCAGCCCAGAAGCAATCTGCTGACTCGGAACATCAGGAGGGCTTCTCAGGCCTGGCTGCTGCCCGCCTGAGTGGTCGTGGAAGCCCCAGAAAGACGAATTGCTGTCATCAATCCCAGGAAAGAAAGGTTTGCATTCTACCTCCTGTATCAGCAGGAGGGAGAAAGAGTTGCAACCCGGTAGCTCTGTTTCTGAGATGGTAATGAGGATGCTTTGGACAGTGGATGACAGTCAACTTGATAGCAAGTTGGAAATCACCCCATTTCCTGTTAGCAGCCTGACTTTATATGCTGCTGGGTCAGCACAGGCCAAGCCCATGGGTGTGACTTTGTGGAGAAGGTGCTCTGATCCCATTAATATGGACTCTGCCCCCTTCCACCCAACGTGAATAAGCATGCTGCCATCCCCGTCCACTGTGCACAAAGATCAGGGACAAAGAGGAAGGCTCAGAACCATGAAAAATAAACACAATAGACTTGTAAGCATCACTCACTATACTCTCTTCTCATATAATATTATCCTGAATGCCAATTATAATAGAGCCTGGTGCTGGGCATCTCTACATTTCATGATTGAAAAGTAAATCATTTTACAGGCATTCCTCTGTACAAAGCAAAGTAGCAAGGAAGATAAAACTATAGTTTCTGAAGTCACAGAAACTCAACTTTAACTATTGGCTCCACCACTTCCTAGTTGAGTGACCTCAGGAAGGTTACTTAGCATCTTAAAACCTCAGGTTCCTTACCTGGAAAATGGACATAATCATACCAGCCTCAAAACTAGTGGGGAGTATTAATGTGTGGTAAGATTACGATTTGGCCTGAGTGCTGGGAAAGGGCTTGCCCAATAACACAGTGCCTGCATGCCGCAAATGTCCAATAACTTTCTATTATTATTATTGGAATCATTGTTTTATGCAAAAGCAGAGAATTCCACTGCTCTACTCATCTCACCTAGGATGAGAGGAGTGAATGTCAGCATATACATAAAGAACTTATTTTTTCTTAACCTTTTGCTCACCAGAACCCATCTTCAATACTGACCTGGAGTCCTGGCTTGAATCTATGCTGTATTTACCTTAGTTCTAGTGAGGAAAGTACCTCCCTGAGCCCTGAAAAGGAGGAGAAAGAAGTAAGGCCCACCCATGGGGTTTGTAGAGAGGCTCAATGCCCGTCACTCTGGGTGCCCATCACTCCAGTGTGACTCCCTCGGGTTTTTGAGCCATTGCGTATGTCTCAATCCAAAGGGGAGGGTGCTTTCCCATGAGACTCTTTTAAAAGACATACCTAGAGAGAACATTCCCCCTCCATTGGAACTCGTTTTTCTAGAAAACTCTGATTCCTGCCGGTAGAGTGATGACCTAGGTGTTTGTGTTGGATTGTAGGGGCAGGACTTAAGTTGGAAACCACTTTACTAAGGTGAAAGGCTTTAAAGAAAGCTTTTTCTCCAAGTAAAACCTAAAGGCTGGGAGAAGGGAAAGAATGTTTAGGCCTTCTTGATTCCTAATGGGCCCAAACTGCAAATATCTAAATGTCCATCAACAGTAGAATGATTAATGTGCTCTATGATTTTATTTATATAAAGTTCAAAAATAAGGCAAACTAGTTGATGGGTTTAAATATGAGAAGAGTGGTTACCTTGTGAGGAGAGTAACAGGGGAAAAAACACAAAAAGCATGCTGAAATGTTCTATTTCTTCATCACTGATGGTTGCACAGGTGTTTTCAGTTTGCGAAACTTCTTTGGGCTCTAAATGCATGATTCATGCCCTTTTCAGTATAAATGTCACTGTTCCAAGGACATAAAGTTTGCTTAAGTCTAAAGCGTTGTATTTCCAAGTCTTCGTGAGGTATTGAGCAGATTCAGAATGTGTGGCTTCAGCAGACATGGTGTCCAGGGTGCCCACGACTAGCAGCACCCACTTGGGTTCTGCAGTGGGCAGCACAGGGGTGGGCAGTCGCATGCCAGAAACCAGGACACTGGGAGATGCTACTTGCACTATAAATCATATGAAGACACCCCTCATTTAAGGATTCCTAGAAATGTGTAAAGAGAGCTTAGAACATCTTGACTTTCCTACACAGTGGGTAGGGCACAAAGAAAAAATAAAATACCATTTTTAGAAATTCACTGTGACCTGCCTTCACCATCAGGCTGGTGACAACTAAGAAACATACTTTGAAATGTTTTGTGAAGACTTCATCACAAAATGCATGTAAGAAACCAACCGCCAGAGAATA